CAGCAAACCACAAACCACCACCTCTTGTGGACTCTCAAGATTGCCTTTGGGCAGCTGGAGTTGCCATTGTAATGAATGCCAAGGGTCTCCTGGATGAGAAGGCCTTCTCCACAGGCTGTCTCCCTCTCAACCCCAGGGCCTAAGCAAGCGTTGCCCTACTGCGTGTCTGGCCTGTGCTCCACCGAGGAGCCAGAGCACCCGGGAGCTGTGCCACCCAGGCCTGGCTTAGAGCTGGCCCTGGCCCCACAGCAGCCTTGGGGCTTTTGAGAGCTCCCTAGGGAAAGGTCTAGCCACGAGGTTTGGAAAGGAGTGGAGCTATGAGAGCATGAAATCCTGCATGAGACTTACTGTAAGCAACTCAAGATCTTAGAAAAGAAAATAAATGACTTGAAATCAAGTGGAAAAAAATCAAACCTCCACAAGGCTTTGCACACAGCCTGGGGTAAACAAACCTCAAAGGCCTATTCTCAACTGTTCTCAAAGGCCTATTTCTCCACTGTGCCTCTAAGGGTAAAATTGTCGGCTGTGCCCAGCTGGGTTGTTATCTACTCATGGCACCCACACCCTAGCTCTGTGCTAGACTAAGAATAGTCCATGGACAGGGGGCATTGCCTTTGGTGCAAGGGCAGCCTCTGGGCCTCAGGAGAGAGCCCTCCAGTGCCCAGGCATGAGTCAGGGAGCTCTCGCCAGGAGGCAGGGGACTGCCATGCCCTGCCTATCATACACTCACAATCAAACACACAATCAAGTCATCCTTCCCAAAATCTCAGACAGAACCAACACCCACATCATCTCACACCCAGCCACGGTCTGCCACGGTCTCACACAGCACCACAACACCACCACAAACGCATGCACGTGTATGCTTGCGTCCATGTGTGCGCACACACACGGTATTGTGAAGAACCGGCAGGGGGCAGGGAGGTCCCAGTCCGCCACCCCACTTCTCTCTAGTTGAACAGCATTTGATCTGAGACTACTGTCTTTGGGCTACCAGGACATGTTTTCAACTGCTCTGAGTAGCAATAGATTGCCCTGAAACGGCATTAAAGGATTCCTCAGCAAAGCTGAATCTAAACCTTACAGCAGGAAGGCTCGGTGATCATCCAGTCCCAGGGCTTTAAGCTGTGTTTGCAGAGTTGGGGCTTCTCCAAAGAGGGGTTCCAGGGATCATGGCTTGGGAGAAGGTCTCTCTCTCCCCATCTCTGCTGCTCTAGTCAAAGTCATTCTGCTGCATCTGCTTTACACAGTTGTACATAGTGAGCTTTGGAATAAAGTTTATTTGGAAAAAAAGATCAGATTTAGCTTCACTACAAAAAGAGTTTTAAAAGCACTAGCCTGATGCCTTCCTGTTAGAAACACAGAGGGTGGGTCAGCCACACAGCTTGTGGGCAGCCGAGCTGAGCTGGGGACAACAAGTGCATGATTTCCTGTGACTGGTCACCCCACTGGGCTTCCTTGGACAGGCCACATGATGACTGAGCTGGGTGACACTTGCACCTGCATGTCCAAATGTTCATAAAGAAAGGCCCTTGCCGGTTGCTAGCCCCCGAGGCAGCAGGCAAGGGTGGGTCTCCACAGCCCTGGGGGCATGATCATTGCCCAGCACATGTGAGGGGGAGGGCCACTCCAGGGACTCCCCTTCTGAAGGCCAGAGAATACCTTCTTCACGGGAGCCCTGGCAGATGCCAGGAAGGCTACATGTTATATGAAGTAATTTCAGTACCATGGCTGCCCAGGGTATTCTGGGGCAGGGTCAGCTCTGCTCGGACACACGCACCTCTGGCAGCCCATGGGGGCACACAGCAGTCAGGCAGCCTCCCCAGCACCAGGTCGGGGGAGCATGGATCTGGAGGATCCCCCACAGGCACATAGGCTGCTCAGGCCTGCCCCTGCCCCATTTGGAGCCCTCATCTAGCTAGAAGTTTTCTCAAACTTGAACAAATCAGAGAGAGTTGGTGTCTTCCCAAGTACCCTCTGAACTGCACACCCCCAAGTCAGGGCTTGGCCCCCACTCACTGCCTCGTGCCCCTCCTAGCAGTGGCCCTCAGTGCTTGAAAAGCACCAGCCAAGGGTGAGCATTGCTGCGGAAGGGCCCATCAGGAATTGCGGAACATCCCTGTGGCTGTGTCTACTGAGGTGGCAACGTGGCCTCCACTATGGGGTCAGAAAAGACAGGGGGAGATGCAGAGGCACCTGAGCACGCTAGAATGAGCTCGTGCTGAGCACAGCTTCATCTTGTGGGGTGGGAACTAGCACCCCCATATTACAAAGGAGAAATTCCAGCTCAGAGGAATAAAGTCAGGCCTGAAACCAAGTGTCTTATTGCCAACTTCAGGTCTTTATTTTATTTTATTTTTTTAAAGATGACCAGTAAGGGGATCTTAACCCTTGACTTGGTGTTATTAGCACCACACTCTCCCAAGTGAGCCACAGGCCAGCCCCTCAAGTTCAGGTCTTTAAACAGCAAACAAAAGAGCTGGCCTGGGGCCAGACTGCTGCATAAACTTTGGGCAAACTGCTCGCCTCCCTGAGACTTGTTTCCTCATCAGAAAAACAGGGACAGGATAGTGGGGCCAACAGCCCATCTCACAGGGTGTTGTGGAGAGTCAATGAGTTCCATGTGCAAAATGTTAAGGCAAAGGGCCTGGCACACAGGAAGCTTCATGAAGGCTGGTTGCTGTTGCTGTTACTGCTGACAAGACTTTCCTCTACATTGTCTTCTTAGGAGAGGGGAAGGGGATCACAGGGACAGGACAAAACCCAGCCCACGCCTGCCAGCTCCAATACTACAGTGCAGCTCTGCTGGGACTTCTAGAAGGCAGAGGCCCAGGAGGTCCCAGGCTGCCCCAGGGGCCTAGGGACCATATGTCTGCAGGATCCATGGAAGGTCCTCAGAGGCCCTGGGGCAACAGCTGGACTGTGTGTCTGTGTGTACATGAGTGTGTCTGTGAGTGCATATGTGTCTGTGTGTATCCATCTGTGTCTGCATGTATCTGTGTGTCAGTGTACATCTGTGTGTATCTGTGTGTGTGTCTATGTGCATGTGTCCATGTGTATAACTGTGTGTGTCTTTGTGCCTATGTCTGTGTGTATCCGTGTCTGTGTCTATGTGTATGTCTGTGTATCCGTGTTTCTGTATGTGTATGTCCGTGTGTATATCCAAGTGTGTGCGTCTATGTCTGCATCTATCTGTGTCTATGTGTGTGTATATGTCTCTGTGTGTGTGTGTGTGTGTGTGTGTGTGTGTGTATGTGTTGGCAGAGCTGTGACTTCAGGTCCATAAGCATGAGGCTGTGCAGGTCCACTGGGGGCAGTCTCCCCCACACCACTGTCCCACAGATGTGATGGCAGAGCTGTGACTTCAGGCCCATAAGCATGAGGCTGTGCAGGTCCACTGGGGGCAGTCTCCCCCACACCACTGTCCCACAGGTGCCATGGCCTGGGCAGGGGCTGCCTACTGCCTGGCTTGGTTGTATGGTATGAGGACAGGGCAGAAGCAGCCCTAGTCTCTGCACAACATGAAGCGTGGCATGGACGTGGGGCCCTGAAGCCCCTTTCAGAGGGACAGGGCTGCACTCAGGAGCATGCATGTGACAGGATGCCCTCCCTCGGGCTGCTCCTGTGACTACCAAAGCAGAGACCCTCGAGCACGGAGCTCTGGACCCCCAGAACCAGAAGGCCCCCTGCACAGATCACCTGGCCTGGCCCTCCTGAGAGCACAGCTTCCCCTCAGTGAGAGCCAGAGACCCCACCCAACCCCATTTGCCCAGGGATTAGCAAACCCAGGAACAAACCCAGGAGCAAATTCAAGCCTGGGAGAAGGCGGTGCAGCTTATGGTCTCCATGCACATGAGCCCACACCAGGAACGAATCATGTCATTATGGAAGGATTAGAAGAAAAATGCCATTAGAAAGTGCTGTGCACACACACGCATTTAATAAGGTCGGTAGCAGCAAGCAGCAGGCAGATCGGCACAAAGCCACAGAGCCCCCGCTGCCCTCCTCCCACCAGCAGCAGAGGCCCCTGGATATGGGGACAGGCCAGCCAGGCCCAACCAGGGCTCCAGAGCAAAAATCTCCTTCTGCTGCCACCCCCCTCCTGTGCACCACAAGGCTACTGTCCTGCCTCCCCACTTTCCAGGGTCCACCTGCTGAGAGTTGTTCCTGAATATTCCCAACCACGCACCCCCACAAGGTAATATTCACCACCTCAGATCTCCATGCCCTCAGGGCTCTGCCCTCTGCCTGGAAGTGAATGGGGCAATCTACTGTACTTTACAAAGCTATTCATGTGCTATTAATCTGCTCCACTCCCTGGTGACACAACGTCCAGTGACAAATATAGACAAGAGGCCTAGAAAACTCATAGGGAATGAGCCTCATGGAGGAACTCCAGTTCTGGGGCAGCTCAGGGGGCCACATCTGACCATCTGATCGGGATGCACGAGTTGGAGTCAGGAACCCTGCTGACGGGCCAAGCAAGGAGATTCAAGACAAGCAGCCTTGCCACCCTTCCTGCCTCCAAGGCCTCCTAGACATTAACCTCACCCTTGCAGCAGCAGAATGCTGTGGCCTACAACAAGTCCTTCCTGCCCTGAGCCCCTGGGGCCCCTGGTCATCCCCTGTGATTCAGCCTCAATCGTCCTTCCCCTGCACATGTACCAGAGGAGTCCTCGTGAGTGCTTACGTGTACACATACTGTGGTCACATGCAAACTCTTTTAGCACAGGGAGGTGTCTCTCAGGCTGTTCCCTGCACACCCCAGCACTCAGGAGGGGAGGCCCTGAAAGGTGGCCCTGGACGGGTGTACACGTAGAATGCAACAGCTCTCTCTCCTCCACCAGCCAGCTCCCCCACTCTGCTGCTTCACTCATCACTTCCACAATGTTCTCTGAGCACTCGCCATGTGCCAAGCACTTTTCTGGGCTCTGAAGAGGCAGCACAGCACAGGACAGACTAGCCTGGGCCCCAGAGAGCTGAGTGAGGAAGATACTCACCACTCCATGGACCTGGACAGGATGGCAGACAAGGTGAGCAGGATGCATCCGTAGGGACCCGCCTCGAACTGGAGGAGAGAGAGGAGTGAGCACCCATCCAGTCCTGCACTGCCCTCATCCCGGGGGCCACACTCCAGCGAGCAGCCTGCCTGGCCCTGGAGGTTGCCAGATAGCTCAAGGGCAGATCCCCTAAAGGATGGGGGTGCACCAGCCTAAGTGAACATTGGGGCCGAGCGCAGGTGACACAGGGGCCACCACGGAGCACGTCCATAACCTGGGAGTCCTTGAAGCTCCCGAGATAGCAGTGGTGGTAGCAGGCTCCTTTATGAGCATTATCACACAGAACACTCTAACAGACCTGTGTGATAAGTGCTATTATTACTACCCTCTGTCATATAAGGAACGGAGGAGGCTCAGAAACTGAGCAACTTGCCCAAAGTCACACAGCTTATAAGCAGCATGAGGGGATTCCAGGGGGCTCCATCTAATTCCAGATCCCTTACCCCAAAGAACTGTGCTGCACTGAAAGCACTAGAGGGTGGGTTTGGAGCATTCAGGATCAGAGTGAGGCAAGGAAGGTGAGCTGTGTGAGTGCATGTCTTTTTTTTGATATTTTGCTCATCGTGGACTTTTTTTGATTAATGTTGATTTTTTTTAAAAAATATTGTTTCTGCTGATTTTTGGGGGGGGTTGGCACCCCCTTAAATTTTGTATCCAAAGCAAGTACCTCACTCTTCTCCCCTGGTCCTGACCCTGGTTTGGAGCCCATGTCCTGGAACCTGCCTGCCAGGGTTTAAATCCTGCTTCTGCCACTCCTAGCTATGTGACACTAACAAATTTCTTAACTCCTCTGTCCTCAGTCTTTTCATCTGTAAAACAAGGACAATAATCATAGTAGCCATCCTCACTGGGGCATTGTGAAGATTGAGCGAGTTAATCCTTGCAAAGCCCTTAGAAGAGGACCTGGCATCTGTGTTAGCTGTTTTTATGATACTGGCTTCACACGCCCACCTGCCCAGTGAGTCAGTGGGCCACAGCCTATTGGGATGAGCCATGACACGCCTTTGCTCCCTGGAGAAACACCATCCCCCAGCTGCAAATCAACAAGAAAGCCTTACTCATCCCACTTTGGGGATGATGAACTATGGTGGAAACCACTGCCTAATACAATAGTCAGTGTTTGTTATGTGTGATCAATTTTTTTTTTAACTTAAAACCAGAAAAATGCTTGTTTCTCCTGGAAGAGTCAATGAGAATTATATAATTTATCATTTTTCCATGTTTGCCTTGGCTACCAGGAAGCTCAGAGCCAAGTATGATGTTCTATTGTGGTAATTATTGTAGCTTATGCTTCTGATAAAATTATCTTTTTTTCTCCTCAAAATATAGTTTTTATTTTCATTTAGTAACTCAGTCAATCAGTCATTTAAAAAAAAAAAAACATTGAGCAAAATTTCTACACCAAGCGGAGGCTCCCTGCTAAGGGAAGGGAATAGGTGGACATGGATATGCCCTCCTGGGGAAATAACTCAGGGAAGAAAGAACAATAAGCAACTTGAAATGGGTGAGGAAGGGGCTCTGCCATGATGGAAATGCCCTAGAAATACACAAGGGCCTTCTACACAGTCTTAGAGTTTGGGGAGGAAGGGAGTGTCAAGGAAGGCCTTCTGAAGGACATGATGTCTAAACAGAAATCCAAGGGACAGGCAGGAAGCAGAAGATAAGGGAATGCTGTTCCAGCAAGAGGAGGAGCATGTGAAAAGGCCCAGAGGCAAGAGAGAGCAAATTTACTATGGTGGAGCACAGAAGAGCCTGAGGACATCGTTTTTTTTAACAAGCAACTTCAAGTTTTTTTTCAGAAGTAGAAATAGAATAAATAAATCAACAACAATCGTAAATCAACTTCATCTTAATGTTGTGATCTCAGGCCAGCTACTTCACTTGTGTCCCTACCTTGCATACTCTTCTGGGTTGTGGTGCACATTCCATGAGACAATGTCTGGGGAAGTGCTCTGACAACTGCAAAGAGTAATGTTGATGTCCCCACACACAGAGAGACAGACCCTGTCAGAGCTCTGCTATAGATTTGCATGCCACCTTGGAGAAGCTCTCTTAGTCTCAGTTTCCTCTTCTGCAAAAAGTCTACCTATTCTGCCACAGACTTTCGTTTCACCTTGGAGAAGTCACAAAGCTCTCTTAGTCTCAGTTTCCCTTTCTGGAATGCCTATCTCCTTCTGCCATGGACTCACACGTTGTCTGGGGAAGCCACTGCACTTTCTGGGTCTGTTTCTCCTTCTGCCATGCTGCAATGACTACCTATTTGCAGGACCTAGTAAAGCAATAGACACAGAAGCCCATCGTGAGGGCTAACTCTCTATGCAAACATGGGGAACTATTATTACTACTTGTGCCAGCGTTTTCCCCCGTCCTTGGAACACCCTCAAGGAGACCACACCCTGAGCCCTGGATATGCCCTTTTGCAGAGGGTGGGGAGATGAACCCTGCTTGGGGCTTCTTGCCCTTGCCAGAACATAGCTAAATGGTACCAATATTCCATTTTGGTTTTAAAAGCACTTATTAAAATTATCTCATCAGATTCAAACTGCCAAGACATGGGAAGACACAAGGCAATGTGCCTGCATGGAAAGGCAAACTTGGGCAGGCAAGTGGGCCAGAAACCAGCTTTGGAGTCCAGAAAAATGTCTGATGCCACTTAGGAAAAAGGGGCAATTCTTTAGCAGAGACCTAAGCCCACCAAGGAACTCCAATGGCAGGCAGGGATGGGGGCATCCCCGAGCTGGCACGAGGCCTGCCAGACACCCTGCCCAGGGGGTGAGTGCTAATGAAAACACAGCAAGGAGGCTATTTATTTTGGGCAGAGATGGTCTGGTGTGCATTTCCAGACCTGGCACGAGGAATCCCTCTTAGGCCCAGGCCATGAAAAATGAATTTGGTGAGGGTAGTGCTGAGGCAGCTCAACCACTTCCAGCACAAATATAAATTAAACTGCAGGGGGGAACACTGCCTTCCACAGGGAGAAGAGCCAAATATTGACCACACTCCATGCCAAGGGACCAGAGCCAGGCAAGGAGGGGATGGCTTTGAGCCCAAGGTGTTACTAAAAAAAGGCGGCCCCTCACCCTGGAGCAGACCCTACCCTATGAACCTCTTTCATGGCCACTGTCTTGCTTAAGTGTCACGGAAACCCTGGGGAACAGGCTGAGGGGAGCCCCATCTTACAGACAAGGATGCAGAGGCCCTGGAGCAGTGGGAGCCCCCAGGGTCGTTGGTGGGCAGTTACAAGGCCTCAGAACCTTGGGTCATTTAAGCAATCACCCTCCTTTGCCCCCTAAAAGCCTCACTATTAGCTTCTCTTCCCTGGCCTTGGTGGCTCCATGCTCTGCGTTGCCTGAAAGTGTGACACATGTGCCCTCAGTCCTGGCCACCCTGCTCAAATCACACACACTGATGCATCAGCCTCTGCTCGTCTCTCAGAGGCTCTGGATATAGTAGTAGGTCTCCTTTCTTCTAATTCAGATTTCTTGGTACTTGATTTGGAAAATATTCTTCCCTGTGTGTTTGAGGTTCTTCTTTGAGAACCATAGTTAGATGGTGAAGAGCCGGAAGTTATCTGATAACTGCTCCATATTCTATTATCCAAGTGAGGAAACCGAGGCCCAGTGACTTTTCCAAGGCCCCATGTGCCAGAGGAGGTCCCCAGGCCTTTGCTCCAGGCCCTCCTGCCACCCTACATCAGGCGTGACTATACAGCAAGGCAGGCAGCAAGGCAGACAGCTCGCTGGCCTCAGGGAAGGTCCCATGTCCTACCCAAGGGATAGCTGGTGCTGTAAGGGCCAGGACATTTCCCAGGGCTGTGCCCAGACCCTCAGGGTCTTTGGGGAAATGTGCTCAGGGAGGGTATTCTGACAGCAGGAGCCTTAGGCCTAGTCCCATACCCAGCAAGTTTCCCCACCCTCTGGCTCACCACCAAATCCCCAGTGTCTTCCCTGGGGCCTGAAAGGCAAATCCCACACCCAGACACTAAAGGAAAGACAAAGTGAGGCTCAGAGATTTGCCTGCACACCAGGAGAGAAGGGCTTAGCGCTCACTCTTTCTTTTGATCCTGACACATGGACATCAGAATTGTGAGGCCTTAAAGATGGGGATCTCAGAGGTCACATGTCTGGCCTTGGCTCACGCTGTACCCTCCCTCCATAACACTTCCCTCTCATAACTCTCTGTCTGCAACTAATCCATCTTAAGGCTGCCCTTAAATCAGCAAGACAATGCGATCATAACACCAACAACAGAAGCTAACAGTCGCCGCCAAGAGAGCATCCAGCGAGGTATGCGGTCCTAGGAACTCTGCACAGTGCTCTCAGGTAGGTGCTGTTGTTCACAGGGGTTAGGTCAGTTCTGAGGTCACAGAGCTACTAGGGGTGTAACCTGGATTCAAAGCCAGGCTGACTGGCTCTAGAGACCATGTTCTTTACCTCTGGAATGTGTGATCCCCTCCCCCACAAAGCCAGCAATGCTCCAGCCTGACTCCAAGTTCCGATGTTGCTCTCTGGCCCTGGCCACGATCCACCCATCTCGCAGCCAGGACTGAGTGCGCAGCTCTTCTCCAGCAGACTGGGTGTTCCAGTGTCCCTGCCTGCACTAGCCCTGCCTCCTCAGGAGTGCCAAGTAAGGTCCTACACCAAGCAGGATCTACATCAACACTGCTTAGCCCTCCAGCCCAGCCCAAGAAGCCACTTCCTGAGGCTTCTGAGATGGTCCTAGAACCCCCTCACTGACAAAGTTCATTACTTCCAGAGGCAGCTGCTTCAATTCAGATGGAGAGAAAACTCTTGTTACCACCATCTAAGAGCAGCTTCCCCTTTGTTCCAACCCCACCCCGTGCCTGCTCTGCTTTCTGCAGCCCCAGCTGTGGCTGCTCCCCATGCCTTTATCCGTGACCAGCCCCCAAGGATGCTATGCCAGAGATGGGATCCCCTTCCCCAAGCCCACTCTTCTTCAGTCTAAATCACCCTGTTGTCCTCTGCCCCACCACCAGCATTGGCTCCTGCCAGCTTCTCTGCCACCCCAGAGAGGAGGACAGCTCCAGTTCACCAGCGTCTCTTCCACAATGAAATTAGGAGGCTTAACAGTACACATGCTACAAAACAAACCATCGTTCATACCTGATGAATGCTTTGCTGAAGAAAAGTCACCAGGTCCTCATGGCAGGTCACACTGTGGAGTGTAAGCTGAGAAGAAATGAACACACAGGGTCAGCCATCCAAGCCCCAGAGGCTGATGCCTCATCCTGGACTAGCTTCTATGGCACTGGTTTCAGGAGCTACAGTAAGCTGAGAAGAAATGAACACACAGGGTCAGCCATCCGAGCCCCAGAGGCTGATGCCTCATCCTGGACTAGCTTCTATGGCACTGGTTTCAGGAGCTACAAATCCCACTTGGGAACATCCCTGAGTCAGAGCTAAGAGGCACACTCCTGAAACCATCTATCTAAAGGCTGGCCCAACACAGCTGGAGCCTCGAGAGTTAAGTCTGCCTTGCAGCAGCCCCAGGCCTGCCTTAGAGACCCCAGGATTCCAGACCTCACAGGATTAAAACAAAGGGTCCAGCATCACGCATGGCCCTGATGGGGGAGGGCTGCACCCCTGCGGTTAGTCCCTGATATCTGAACAGAGGCTGGGCGAGAGGGGGAATGGGGCAGGCACCACACCAAGTCACAGTAGCCAGGCCAGGTCAAAGCCCACGAGGCTGCATCCTGAATTTAATAGGAAGCAGCAGTTATGAACTCCTCTGCTTTCTCAGCGCGTCCAGAAAAAAACACTTTTAGAACATGCAACAATGTGAGACCCCTAATTAGGGTCCCAGGGCCACATGTGCCCAAACATAGGTCAAATGAAACAAATTAGTTAAAACAAAAATCTCCATTAAAGAAGCGGCTAGTTTTTTAAAAACCTAACTATTTTCATATTTTCAAAAATATAATAATGTACAGCTCTCTCATTTTTTCTCTCATTTTGTATTACTTGAATCTGGCTTTATGGTTGGGACTCCATGCTGTCCAACTTCCTCCCACTTTCCAACTTCCTCTCCCTCTCCATACTATGCCCCACCTCACCACCCTCCCATAATACTCCTGAGGGAGACATTAAAGGAACATGAAGAGGGACACAGAGAAGATTGGGGCTTAGTCAAAGGTATTATGGACAGACTGCTGGTGGAACTTCAGCTCTGTATGCCCTCAAGGTGACAGGGGCCATGTGGCCTTTTGGCCATAAAGCCAGCTCTGGCAAGAGCCCACCCCCAAAGCCACCCCACCTTCGCCCATGACCAAATCTCAGGGCAAGGATTCTGTGGGCCTGGGCTGTAGGGAGGGCTGGCCTAAGCCCAGCTGGGGAAAGATTTACTTATAGGAAAGGAGACAGTCCCCAAACAAAGCCAAAGTTTGCGTGATAATTTTCCAGAAAGCCGTACTGTTTCTAAGACGCCATCTGCTTTGTATTTCCCTGTTGGACAGAACTGCTGTGTTCCCGAAGCCCTAAAAAGGAAAGGAAGGTGCATGAGTCCTCCATCGGAGAGAAGATGTGCCCTCCAGCCAGGCGAAACCACATGTGTCATTAAATGAGGTCAAATAAAAAGGTGGCTCCAGAGAAAAGAATGGAGCCAAGGGTTTCTTGTTTTTCCTGCTTTGAACTCACCCACCAGGCTGGGTCCAGAGAATGATACCAGCAGGACAAAAAGGGAATGGAAAAAAGACAGCAGAGGGGGAATTTGGAATGGCAAACCCCAGCCCTGGCAGTAGGAAGTCTTACGCTCACCCACAACTGACAAACGTATTTCCAGACTGAGGACGTAGACTTGCCCGTCATTTTCATTGACGTGAGGAATTCTGGCCTCTGTCTTTTCTGGGGCTCCCCACTGTTACCTCCTCAGCATCTTAGACACAGCACCTGCTGGTGTGCAGCCCAATGAGGCATGCGATAGGAGTAGGGTTTGGGTTGGGGGCCCACTGTGCCATTAGCTGCTGTGTGGCCTTGGACCAGCCACTATCCCTCTCTGAGCCTCTATTTCCTCATCTGTAAAACAGGGAGAAACTGAATTCCTGCCCCATCTGCTCACTGAGCTGCCAGGCAGATTTTTGAGGGCTGGGCTTAATAAGTTAACTGGAACATAGGTACCAATGACAAGTAGCAGCAACAACAATGAAAATATCTGTAAAACAGGGAGAAACTGAATTCCTGCCCCATCTGCTCACTGAGCTGCCAGGCAGATTTTTGAGGGCTTGGCTTAATAAGTTAACTGGAACATAGGTACCAATGACAAGTAGCAGCAACAACAATGAAAATGCTAGTACTCCCTAACACTTACGTTGTGCTTCGTATGTACCAGACATTTTCCTAAACGCTTCACATTTATTATCATTTATCATCTTTTTATATTATAAATTATTTAAACTGATAAATACTATTATATTTATTACATATCATTTCTTTATATTGACTCATTCAGTTCTCACAACCACCCTATTAAGTAATCATTATTATCTTTCCAATTTCCCAGATGAGTAAACAGATGAGGCACAGAGAGGTTAAGTCACTTGCTCAAGGTCATCCAGCCAATAAGCAATAGCACTGGAAGTCTGCGTCTAAGAGTCCCTTCTCTGAAGCACTATGCTATAGTGACCAACGTTGCCCCCAGAATGTGGTCGTTGGCCCCAAAATTTAGTCCTTTACTAAGGCTGAGCCTCACAGCTGGGACAAAGTGATGCTTCCACTCTGATGGTCAGACTCAAGAGCCAGCAACCCACTCATGTGAATCACATGGGGTGGGATGGAGTCTTCAGGGCAATGGGATCCAGGGCCCGGGCTCCAGCTCACCTCTGAGTCTCCTCCTCAATGGAAGAGGGAGTCAAGTGACAAAGAAAGTGGGAGCACACTTTGGGAATGGGGAGGAGGGATACAAATCTGCGGTGTCACAACTGGGCCAACCTGAGGGGCTATTTTCCAAAGCCTCCAGATCAGGGAAATAGAAAGGAGAGCTGGCTGCTGGTGTCAGAGGTTTTCTCAGAGGGGTTCACCCAGAGCTACCCAAGGAGGAAGACAGGGCAGATACGGCCATGCCTTCCGAGGGCTCACCCTGGCATGTGACACTAGGAGAGGCACTGGAAGGATGCACAGCCATGGTCCCTATGCCCAAGGACAGGAGAGCACACAGCCAGCTTGCCTGCAGCTATGCTGGCAGAGGTTGAGCTGTAGCGACACAGCCCTCAGAAACACTTACAATGCGACCACAGCTCTCTCTCGACCCCCAGCCCGCCACACGATGTCTGCGATGGCTAGGGCAAGGCAGCGGGTCCTGCGGGCATCTGAAGGCTGCAGCTGCCTGAGAACGAGAACAGTAATGTGTTTATGCTCACGGGGACACAAGGCAAGATGGCACAGCCCCTTCTGCAGGTGGCCCAGCCTTTCCTCTGCCCACCAGAGGGGCCACTTGCAGCCTAGGGACTCCACAGCAGAGCTTGAGGAGGAGGGACCTCTGCAGATGAGGGTCAAGGAGTGGCCTGGAGGGAGGGGCCCTGGTAGAGCTGGAGGAGGAGAGAGATAAGGGGACCCTAGAGGCTTGGCAGGGCCCAGATTTGTGTATTAAGAAAAGACTGTGAGTTCTGACCGAGTCCAGGAAGCCAAGCCATGCATGCTCAGGCGTGCTCCGAAACTGCTGCCCTCGCAGGCAAACACAAGGCACTGCCCTGGCCTGGCCAGTCCCTATATGGAGCCCCTGGAGACAGTGGCTCTTTACTCCCACCAGCTGTCAAGAGGAGACACAAGTGCGTGCGAGGGGACAGCAACCTGCCTTGCTAGATACGCGGATAAGGGGCGTGGGGATGAGGGAGAGGAAGGATTCAGGATGAGCCTGTGTTTCTAGAGAGAAATAAGAAACATGTGGCTGGGGGGAGCTGCTGGAGGTGGAAGATGACGAGCTGCACTTCAGACTTGCCGAGTTTGAGGCGTGCGGGGAACCCCAGGTAAAGCTTCTGGACACATCAAAAGCCCAGGAGAGTGGTCAGGGCTGGGTATAGATTTCCCAGAGAGAGGATGAGGAAGAGACAAGGCAGCAGCCGAGGATGAAAGCTTGTGGAGGAGGAAGGGTCAAAGAGGTGGGGACCAAGGAGAGAGGGCCGTGACACCGTCTTATGAGCAGAAGAGTTTCAAGAAGGATGGGCAGTCAGCACTGTCAGAAATGGCGGCGGGCTCTCTTACGATGAACACGGTAAACACGGTAGCCTAGCCGAGAGGTCCCCGGAGCATGAAGCGCAGGAGGGGAGGGAGGGAGACCACCGGAGAGAGACTTCTCTTCCCACTTCCCACTTCCAGGGGATGAACACGGTAAACACGGTAGCCTAGCCGAGAGGTCCCCGGAGCATGAAGCACAGGAGGGGAGGGAGGGAGACCACCGGAGAGAGACTTCTCTTCCCACTTCCCACTTCCAGGGCTGCTCAGAGCCATACTTCCTGCCTTCCCCTGGATTCTATGGTTTTTTCCTAAGTTCGTACAGAAGCTAGCTTGAGTGGGTCTCCCTTCCTAACAAACAAAAAAGGTCTTGAAGACCCAGCGGGGGCTCAAAGGAATGCAAAGGGGGTTTCCACGCTTTCAGTCACCAAGTAATACCTGAGCTCCATGCTGAGCTGGAGGGGGTGAGGTGGACAATACCAGAGTTTGTCTCTCCTCTCCACACAGGAGAAGGGAAACCAGGAGGCCAGGACACAGCCCACCATGGCAGGCAGCCTGTGGTCACTGCCCGGTCACTGCCCGGGGCCTGCGAAACTGAGTCAGCAATCTACACCCAGGCTGTTATGGTCCAATTCCTTTCAAATGAGAGGCAATACGAAACAGCAGTCCCTCAATTTCCTCATGTGTCAACTGGCAATGACAACTGCACATCCTTCACAGCACTGGGAGCTGTGATGTTTGTAAGGCTCGTGGCCAGTGTCTGGCACATGGGGAATGTTTGATTAATGGTACCTATCATTATTGTCTTTATAAAAACATCACATCTCCACTTAGGCCATGGCAACAGGAAGGTGGACTCCTAACATCTGATGTGAAAGCCACACCAACTCCCCGACACTGGAAATCCTTCAAACCCAATGAGATGAGTAACAAGCACTCAATCACTTCAGAAAATAAAACAGCAGACAGCCTGATACTTCTTCAGGCTCAGGAAGCCCGTCGTGTTCCTCAGAGGAAATAGTTACCATGCTCTCGCCAAACCGGACGGCCCGAGCTGTTAGGAGCACTGGCCCAGGTCACCATTAACTATGAAAACAATGTTGAGAAAACACGGCTCCAGGTTCCAGGAGAGGCCATGCCAAGGACTTAGGGGTGGCTGGAAAGCAGAGCTTGTCAAAGAGAAAGGATTTGATGTTTACCTGTGGATTTAGAACCCACAAATGTGGATTCCGTCAACCCTCACAGCTCCTGTTACCTGCCCTGCCCCATCCAAATGATGGCCACATCCTGGCAATTGCACAGACTCCCCCCACCCTCAGCTGAGATGCTGCAGCTGTGCCCACCAGCATCCTTGCTCCACTTCGCCCCTTCTCCAATCCCCATTGTACATGCTCATGGCGGGTGGGGTAGGGAGGACTCTTCCTACAAAACAGGTGTGACCAGTACTCCCTGATTAAAGCCCTTAAGATGGGTAGTAGCTGTGCAAAATTATGCCCGGATCCAATACTCTGCCTAGAACACCTATGCTGGAAAACCTCCTCCGTATCTGGAACTAAGGAGACCCCTTTCAAACAGTGTTCTACACTAACTCACTGAATCAGGTGACACCAGTTGGAAGCTTCTCAGTGTAACGATAATGAAGATCTTGAAAGCCCACATTACTGAGTACTTACATCAGTGTTCTACACTAACTCACTGAATCAGGAAGCTTCTCAGTGTAACGATAATGAAGATCTTGAAAGCCCACATTACTGAGTACTTACATGTGCCAGGCACTGTTACAAGCACTTTACATGTACTATTTCATCAAATCATTAAAACAACCCTCTGAGGGAGGGGCTATTATTATCCTCTTTTAAAAATGGGGAAACTGGCACAGAGCTCAAGTAGTTTATCCAAGGCCAGTCAGTCAGGAAAAATTGGAAAAAGTAGACATCGGGGAGGGAAAGAGAGCGTGGGGAAGTAGAACCAAGTGTCTTGGGCACTTGGTTTTAGTAACCAACACGCCTTTGCCTTCAGTGCTGTCTCTTTGGCCCTGGGCAACACAATCAAGAGCTCATGCCCCCTGATCTTCCAGGCTCTGCTCACAGCCCCCTGAACATCCACGTCTCTGTACAGAAGTCCTCATTCTTCTCACTGGCTTCCCTTTAGTGACTTCCAGTCTCTCCAACCTTCCCTCGGCCTTCTCCATCTTTCTCTTTTGAGACACAGCTTTCCAGAAAACACAGTAGAGTTGGGAAATGTGCAGCAGTCAGACAGTTAAGAGGCCTGGGTTTGATTCCTGGCTCACGAGCTTGGGGAAGCCCCTTGCCCTTCCCGGCCCTTACTTCCCCCCATAAATGTGGGCACTGGGTCAAATGCCCCGAGCCCTCATTCCAGCCTTGTCATCCTGTCATTTCATCTGCCCCAGAACAGACAGGGCTGTGGGCACGTGAGCGCCTGTGCCCACAGATGGCCACAGAGGAAGGAGGTGGTATGCCCGAGTCTCCCAGACTCTACCTCCAGCAGGTGCAAGACCTGGGTGACCACGAAGGCCCTGTACTGCCTCTCCAGTCAGATATATCTCTGTCAGACTCCTACCAGGAACCTGGTGCCTGGCCAGGCTCTTAATCCCAGAGAAGTTTCTTTAACAGTCAAATTTCTCACAGGAGAAGTGCAGGATGAAGACATTTGTCCAGGGATGGGGGTGGACCTGGGGAAATAATACGTCCTGCTTTTGCAGAACTTATCCAAGTGTTTTAAATTAAAGAGATGTTTCTCTCCTGCTCTCACAATAGTCTCACCTGTCCAATTGGACATACCCACACAGACTGAGTCCATAGAAAACTCAGGGGAGAGCTGGCGAGAGAGTGGAGCCAACCTGTCCTCCTTTCTTTTCCCTCTCAGGGTCCAAAGCTTCCAGCCAGGGCTGGATGCCCTGGGGGCCAAGAGACCTGGGTTCCAAGCCTTGTTCTGCTCTCAGTGTCCAGAGGGACTTCAAGCAAGTTCCCCTCCTTTTCTGGACCTTGAGTTCCCCAATTTCAGAAGGGCAGTGGGGTGAGATAGTACCTTCCCTGGCTCTCAGACCCACACCAGCCTCCGAGGGCCCTTCCTGGTCACTGGCTCCCCCAGCCTGAGGCGGGTGAGAGCTCATCATCTCTCTCAGG